GGTGGGTGAGAGCAGGGGAGGCTGGGAGCCAGGACTCCTGGGTTCTCTCCCTGGCTCTGGGAGGGGAGTGGGGGCTGGTGGGTTAGAGCAGGGGAGGCTGGGAGCCAGGACTCCTGGGTTCTCTCCCCGGCTCTGGGAGGGGAGTGGGGGCTGGTGGGTTAGAGCATGGGGGGCTGGGAGCCAGGACTCCTGGGTTCCATTCCTAGCTTTGCCATTGATCTGTTGGGTGATCTCAGCCCAGGCACTTCCGCTGGCTGTGCCGCGGCGTTCTCTGTCAAACAGAGAAGTTGCTCTCTTCCCTTTTCCGAAGAGTTTCGCGGTGGGCAGATGATGACATGTGTCAACACTGCGTGTGGCGGCGCAGGGTGGGGTTTTTCGTTGTCCCTTTCGTTCGGCGCCTCCCGCAGCGCCCTGCCGGGTGGCACGCCTCCCTTCCCCCAGGCCATTTCCTGTTCCTCGCGGGGGCTCTTGCTCGTTTCTGATGATGAAAGCAATATTTGGACTTGGGAGAATGCCATGGCAAACCCCCAAGCATAGGGGGCTGAGGGAGCCGGGGGCGGGGTACTCGCAGAAACTCCTAATTCACCTGGAGAAGATGGAGCAGGCTCCAGGCTAGTTTGGCATAGGCCACGTCTGCCTCCGGAGGCCCTGCTCCGCCCTGGGACGGGAGCTGGGTTGGCGTAGGCCACGTCCGTGCTCCAGAGGCCCCGCTCCACTGTGGGACGGGAGCTGGGTTGGCGTAGGCCATGTCCGCGCTCCAGAGGCCCCGCTCCGCTGTGGGACGGGAGCTGGGTTGGCGTATGCCACGTCCGCGCTCCAGAGGCCCCGCTCCGCCATGGGACGGGAACTCGGTTGGCGTAGGCCACGTCTCCGCTCCAGAGGCCCCGCTCCACCGTGGGACGGGAACTCGGTTGGCGTAGCCCACGTCTCCGCTCCAGAGGCCCCGCTCCGCCGTGGGACGGGAGCTGGGTTGGCGTAGGCCACGTCTCCGCTCCAGAGGCCCCGCTCCGCCGTGGGACGGGAGCTGGGTTGGCGTAGGCCACGTCTCCGCTCC